GAAGGCCTCCCTCCCCACGTTCTCCACCACCGTTACAAATAGGCAAAATTTATTCTTCTTTTTTTTTGTGTGTGTGTGTGCGTGTGGGTGTCTTTGCTGCCTATAGCATACACACAGTTGTACACGTATTTAGAGAAAGTTAGAGAAAGAGCGAAGGACGTTGCTTTACGAGAAGCGGCAAGGGTTGGCCTCATTACTATAAACACATAAATATATATATATATACACACACTCTCTCTCTCTCCTATAAACGCGTGTGTGTGTGTGTGTATATAGTCATATACGCACCTACGGCGCGCCGCAGTTGACGGAGTGGGCGGAGTGGAGTGCGGCGGAGGCGGCAAGAGGAAGAGGAAGCAGCAGCAGGCGGGGGTGGCGACGTCAAACCGCTTTATTGACGTCCGTGCGCGCGTTAGGGGCTGGGAGGGTGGGGGCAGAGGCAGGTCGTCGTTGCCGCTAGCAGCAGCAGCGCCATTCCCACCGCGGGGGGCACACGCACCTGCGACGCCGCAGGCTTTTTGTCGACTTGACGTTTTTCCTCCGCTTGCTTTTTCTTTTGGGGAGGAAGAGGAGGGGGAGGGGGGGCTAAAGTTTCTCACGCGCATCCGATTTCTGCCTCACCTCGCCTCGCTTCCTCGTCTTCCGCCGTGCGTTCTCCGCGACCCTGCGTGAGGGTGTGTTGCCTGCTTGACCTCCTGCCGGTATATCCTTCCCTTGGGCGGGGGATTTCACGGGTTGCCGGCGCCGCTTCCCCAAATACACACAACACACGCACAGCCAGGCCGATAAGGGCACGACCGGCGTGCGCAGTTTGGGCGTTTTCATTTGTTGCTTGCTGGGATCGGTGTAAACATATATTTATTTTCCTTTGTGCGTCTGAGTTTTCCAGCCACCCACCCCGCTCTCTGTCTGTGCCCGGCTGCGGGTGTGTTGCGCCGCGTAGACGATGCCGAGCAGTCAGACCACCGGCCAGCCGCAGCAGCAGCCACAGCAGCAGGCCTCCTTGGCGGCTGCGGCGGCGGTGGCGGTGGCAAGTGAATTTGTAGCACCGCAGCCGCCGCCGCAGCCGCCGCCGCCCGCGCAGCCGCAGCCGCAGCAGCTCACGACCACCACCACCACCGCCGCTGCCGCCGCCACGACGAAAACGACGAAGAGTAATAGTGATGGTAATCCCACCGCCACCGCCGCGGCGGCCGCGGCGGTGGTGGAACATGCCCATCTGCGTCCGCATGGGCCACTGTCCCGTCCGTCTGTCGCGTTGTCGGAGGAGATCATGTCGCTCTACCAGCTTATCAACAGCAAGTACAGCGAGGAACGGCGGCGGCGGCAGCCGGGCCCAAAGTACAACGACGGCTATGATGATAGGCATGGCCACTACCTCGTCTTCACCGGCGAGGTGATCTGGGGACGCTACACTGTGCAGGGGGTGCTTGGTCGTGGTAGCTTCGGCACGGTTCTGAAGTGCTTTGATGAGAAGCATCAGGAGCAGGTGGCGGCGAAGGTGATTCGCAACGGGGAGTACTTCTACAATCAAGGCCTCATGGAAGTGGACATCGTGGCGCGGCTGAACAGCCTGCCTATCCTTGAAAACCTTGTTGTGCGTCTCGGAAAGGTCTTTGTTTGGAAGGGACACCTGGTTCTGGTGTTTGAGATGCTGAGCATGAACCTGTTCCAGCTCATTCAACGCACGAACCACAACGGGGTGAGCCTGGACCTCACTAGAAAGTTTGCCTACCAGTTGATGTTGGTGTTAAGGCAGTTGGAGCAGCATAACCCGCCAATTATTCACTGTGATGTGAAGCCGGAGAATGTCGTGCTGCGGGACCCAAGTCGCAGCTCCATTCGCCTGATCGACTTTGGAAGCGCCTGCTACCTGCACCAGGGAGCAAAGCTGTACAAGTACGTGCAGTCGCGGTTTTACCGCAGCGTGGAGGTGATCCTGGAGCTGGGCTACGACACCGCCATTGACCGCTGGTCCCTTGCCTGCATGTTGGTGGAGCTGCACACCGGTGTCCCGCTCTTCGCTGGAAAGAACGAGTCTGACCAGCTCGCCCGCTTCATCGGGGTGCTGGGGCCGCTGCCCGATGACATGATTGAGCGGAGCGCAAAGAAGGACGTCTTTTTCCTCGACTCCCGGCAGTCGCAGCGGGGGGCCCTCCCGCAGCAGGCCACGGGGAGGGGGCGAAGTCCCGTCATGACGGCGTCAACGCAGCAGCGGGAACATGTCGCCTCCCCGTCTCCGGTGATTGCGGCGGAGGTGCTGAACAGCCTCTCCGCGACGTCCTCCATCTCCGCCGTCACCGCCGCCTCCACGGCCCCGGCGTGGTCCTACACCGACAACGCGGCCGCCGCCACCACAATCTTTGGAGCTCCGCCTCCCCAGCAGCAGCAGCAGGAGCAGCAGGCATTGGCCGCGGAAGCGGGAGGGGCGGCAACGGCAACGGCGGCGGAGGGGCGGCAGGGGTGTCGAACTTCCTTGTCCGGCGGCGGCGGCGGCGGCGGCAATGCCTGTGCCACCGGCGCGAGCAACAATAATAGTGGCGGCAATCCCGTGGCTGTGCCTGCGCTGCGACGCCCCGGCACGACGACCCACGCGATGTCGTCGTCGTCGCCCAAGAGGGATGGCGTAGGGCACACGGCGATGGCAGGCGGCGGGCCGCTCACGCCCACCGCCGTGCGAAGGTGCAAGCACACCACGCCCAGGAATCCATCGCAGCAGAAGGCGCTGCTCGGCGCGACTGCCTCCACGACCGTTCCGGTGGCGACATTCCCGACGCGGACCGCATTGGGGCTGCGGCCGGCCACCCTCACGTCAAGGCCCCGACCGACGTCCATGAGCCATCTGGCCGTGCACAACAGCGAGGGGTCGTTGTCCGCCGCTGCTGGGGGTGGCCGTGGCGGCATGCAGCAGACGAAGGCGGCAGCAGAGCAACAGCAGCAACAGCAGCAACAGCAACCACAAGTAAGCGCCTCACCGCCAAAGAGCCCGTTTGTGCTCCGCTGCCCGCCGACTCCCGAGCAGTGCCAAAGTCTTGAGGAAATCATTGGGGTGTACTCGGGTGGACCGCGCGGCTGCCGTCGGGGGCAGGCGGGACACGGTGTAGATGACTACAAGGTGTTTTTGGATTTCGTCCGGCGTTTGCTTTGCTACGACCCACGGAAACGCATGACTTGCACAGAGGCCTTAGAACACCCTTTTCTTTCAGAGTTAGAGGCGCAGAAGCAGTGGAAGTACCTGAGTGGACGGGCACCGTAGGGGAAGCTTGTGCGATCTTTCTGCCTGTGGTAATTATTCACTGTGTGGCGTGGGACTTGGGCCTTGCGTGTGTGCCTGCCCCTTGCTCGGTTGAGTGTTGTTTCTGCTGGCACCGCTTTTGGGCTCCTTCTTAGGGCCAGTGGGGATCGAGCGCGGCCGCGCCACAGCAAGGCAGAGAGTGGAGGGGAGCGTTGCAGTGTAACAACGCGTGCTGGCTGTGCCTGCTTTGCCTTATCGGCGTGCGTTGGATGACTGGCGTGGTGTGGAATTGGCTGCATGGCATATATATATATATGACTCGGTGTGTGCTTTTATGTATTGTTCTTATTTCTTTCTACCTGAGTGGGACGGAACGAGGATGTACAAAAAGAAACGGAGGGGTGAAGAACGAAAACGAAAAAATAAAAGAAAAAAAGAGCAGAGGAGGAAGAGGAGGAGGGGGGGAGGAAGCGAGGAGGAGCAGAAGGGCGAGGCCTATTTCTTTTGTTGTGTGTGTGTGTGTGTTCTCCGCTTACATGTTTTGCCATCGCGGCTTGGAGCGCGTGCGCGCGTCGGGGGCTGCTGCAAAGATCACTTGTGCCTCGGCATGCACCATGTGCGCCAACTCGCGGCCTGCGGCCGCCTGCGTCGCCAACCCAGTCGTCTGTCCTGCCTCTACCTGCCCGGGGACTTACATTCTCGGCGTGGGTGGGTGTTGCTCGTTTTACCTTTCCTTTTTCCTTGCACTCCCCGTCCCTTCACCCTTGACGAATGCCTCTGCTGCTTGCAATACACACCCGCACGCACTGTTGCGTCTGCACCGCACTCCCTATCTCTCTCTCTCTCTCTGTCTCTCTCTGCCTCGTTTTGCTGCTTCGTGTGCCGCTCGCCCCTTCCCCATGAATTCGTTTGCGGGCGAGGTAGCAGTGCGGTGTCAGGTTTCACAACTCGCTGTCTGTCATGTCAGCCCTTCGCCTCCCGACCGCGGAGGGCGGCCTCGGGGCCAGCCCATTCGACTTCTTGGCGTGCGAGACCAATGAGCAGCAGTTGTGGGCGGAGGTGTACATGCGGGAGTTCCCCGACCCCGATGAGTTCGCCGCCATGACGATGGAGGAGCAGCGCGAGATTGTGACGGAGCTGCGGGACGAGATGGACACGCTGGAGGAGGAGATGCGCGTGTTTCTGCGCCACGCCGAGTCCCTGCGCACGGCGCGGCCTGCGGCCGCCGTTGTCGGCTCCCCCACGAGCACGCGGAAGTCGCTTTCCACGTTCCTCCCCGCCGAGCACGCCCCACGGGAGCCGGAGGAGAGCTGCGTGAGCGAGTCGGCGGTTCTTGCGAGCGGCGAGGTCGGCGTCGAGGCGGGCACCTCCCCGACGTCGAGCACCCGCCGCGGTCAGGCGTATAGCCGCAAGTCGGTGGACACCGGCGACGCGTACGTGACGCTGGAGGACCGGGTGGCGATACTCAGCAAGGACAGGGAGAGGCTGCGGCAGCAGCGGGAGCGGGATGAGCGCGAGGGGGAGCACCTCCGCGACCTCCTCACGGCGACGGTGAAGGAGGCGGTGGGGCGCACGAAGGAGCTCCGGCTGGAGCTGCTGCAGCTGAAGCGGGAGGTGCTCAACGAGGGCAGCAGCACCGCCTCCTCCGATGACCTCTTGCGGTTTATGGACAAGCGCCACGACACGCAGGCAAAGTACCTCGACAAGCTGAATGCCCAGTGTGCGGCGGCGGAGCGAAACATCATGCAGACCCAGCAGCAGCTGCGCCAGCGCCACGCCGCGGGGGAGGCTTTTCACGCGATTGACTTTGAGCAGCTTCGCATAGAAAACCAGCAGTTTAACGAGCGCATAGAACGGAAGAACTTGGAGCTAGTGGAGTTGAAGGGGACCTCCACCCGCACCGTGCAAACGCTCAACACACTCATGGACACCCTCAACGGGCTCACCGCGGAACAAAACCGCCTGCGGAAGGACTTAAAAAGTCGCTGCGAGTATTTGGCGCGGCTGCAGCGGGAGATGGTCTCCGTCGTCCATGAGGCGGATGTCGCGGAGCGCAAAAACGCGGCCATCAAGGCCCAGCATGAGGCGGTGCGGGTGCCGAAGATCGAGCACTACGTGGCACAAAAGGCCGAGGAGTACGAGCTGCAAAAGGCGCAGCGGAATTGGAGGCGCAAGGTGGAGATTGCCGACGGGCAACTAAGCCTCGTTCAGCAGCAAATACGCACGCTGGCCAGGGCGACAAAAAGCCCACGGAAGTGGGCCAAAAACTTGGGGGGTCAAACGACAACCGTGTCAAGCTCCCTCAGAAAGGGTGCGGCACGAGACAGTAGAAGCGGATCGACCTACATGGATGCAGAGGGAACGTACGAGGTAGAGGCCGATCCCGACGCGAAACCCGTCGTTGGTGGCAGCAAAGCGCTTCTGAACATGAAGCGGAAGAAGTGAGACATTGGAATTCGGGCTGCGTGCACTTATTTGCGTGTCCAGTTGCACGCTGTCGGGACGGATGCTGACTACGGGATGCCGCGGTGGTGCGCGTCCCCGCACGGTGATGTACAGCGGCGCGATAGCCCAAGCAAACAGACAAAGAGAAACGAGACAAGCAGGATACACATATTGGCATCATTGAGGCAAACACTTTGAAACCCCCGTTAATGCTCCTTGTATAAATATTTCCCATTCCAGCTTTGGTTTTTGGATGGGGGGGAGGGGGGCAGGGAGTGCTGGCGGCGAGTGTGTCCACCGCATCTACCGCCGTGATGGCTGGTTCACTTGTTTCTTCTCTTCGGCGCTTGCGTGCTGCTTTCTTTGCGGCGGCGGAGGCGCCTGCCTGTGGGTGTGTAGTTGCGCCAAATGTTGGTTATGTATGCGCCCCTCCCTCTCTTCCTCGCTGCGTGGGCGCGTGGGCGGGGGCCTCTCCACCCATTGCCTCCCCGCACACATACATACATAACTATATATATATTTATGTATGTGTGTGCGTATACGTCGCCGCCCTCGCTTCCGCCCAGATGCTTCTCCCTGGCCTTCTCTCTTTCCCCCTCTCTCGCATGCGCACACACGGATTTCTTAGACTGCACAGAGCCGCATACGAGGCGTGAAGTGGTGGGCTGGTGGGGGGAGGAGGGAAAAAAGCCACCCACACGCGCGTGCACAGACACACCTGGTCCGCGCGTGAGTGCGTGTGTGTGGGACAGCCTCACCTTCCTTGGCGCTTGCCCGTGGTGTATCCAGTGAATGTCCGGGCGGCCAGTTTCCGCGGTCGTCGCAAAGACGCCCCGCCGAGGCAGGTCACCTTTCGTGGAGGACGACGAAAGCGTCGCGGAGCAATTCTCGCCGCGAAACGACCCAGGTAGCGGTGGGAACGCGGAGGTGTTCGGCATTACCGTCGCCGTGCGCATCCGCCCCTTCTCGCAGCGGGAAAAAGACGGGGAGAAGGATGGAAAGGGCCCCAGGGTGCTGAGGCCAGATGAGCCCGTCGTTGATGTGGAGGCGGACGGCAAAACGCTTATGCTGCTCGACCCGATGAGTACCGGCTCGTCCCACCTCACCTTTGTCTTTGACCACATCATCTCCCCGCTTGCGCCCAGTGTTGACTTGGATGTGCCGGACACCGGCAACCGCAGGGAGACTGTGCAGGACTGGCAGGACGGCGCCTCACAGCGTCCGGCGAGGGATACAGGGGATTCACTGAAGCCCCGTTGTGCACGTGACGTTGGGAGGCATGCAGCGGGACGGCGCTTCAGCTGCGGCACAACAGAGGCGGAGAAGGAGCAGCAGCAGGTGTTTGAACTGCTGGCCGTCCCTGTTGTGGGTTGGTCGCTGCGCGGCTTCAACGCTTGCGTCTTTGCCTACGGGCAAACCGGTAGCGGCAAGACCTACACAATGATGGGCACGCCAAAGTACGAGGGTCTCATTCCGCGCCTCTGCCGTCTGCTCTTCGCCCGCATTGCCGCAATGGAGGAGGCGGACGAGCAGCAGCAGCCGCCGCTGCCGAACGGTAGAGCCTCCCCGACACGCAGCCCGCCCGGGCTCAGCGGCGGCTCGAAGAGTGATGGGGAGAGTCGGCGGTGTACGCCCTCGCCGGACGCGTCCATGTCAAGCCTGGCGTACCCTGCGAGGGCGCGTCTCGTGAAGGTGACCATCTCCTTCATGGAGATCTACAATGAGCAGGTGCGGGACCTGCTGAAGCCGGACCGCGGAAAGAACACCCTGTCACACTACAACAGCCGGTTCGACTCGGACCCCATCGACGCGTACGAGACGCTGCGGGTCCGGCAGCACCCCCTGCACGGCCGGTTTGTGGAGGGGCTCACCAACGTGGAGGTGGACAGCTGGGGGGAGTGTCTGGAGTACATTCACCAGGGCAACGCCGTGCGGGCGCAGACAAGCACGCGGCACAACGAGACCAGCAGTCGGTCCCACGCCATCTTTCAATTGATCGTGACGCAGACGGCCTTCCTCGGCGGGCGCGTGCGCGGGCGGGAGGTGACGTCGCACCTCGTCTCCAAAGTCAACCTTGTCGACCTCGCTGGGAGTGAACGGCTGAAGCGCGACGGCGGCAGCGGGCGACTACAGTCCGAGGCCAACGCCATTAACTTGTCCCTATCCGTCCTGCGCCGCGTCATCACTGCGCTTCTGAAACGGGAGAAGCTGGTGCCGTACCGCGAGAGTCTCTTGACGTACGTGCTGGCGGACAACTTCGGCGGCAACTCCCGCACCATCATGTGCGCCACCATCTCCCCCCACTTCTCCAAGTACGCGGAGACGGAGTCCACGCTGCGCTACGCCGCGCTCGCACGCGGCGTGATGAACCGTGTGAAGGTCAACGAGCAGCCGCACGCCAAAATTATTCGCGAGCTCAAGGAGCGCATGAAGCAGCTGCAGGAGGAGCTGCACGGTCCGCACAGCCAGGGGCGAGCGTCTAGTTTGGAGGAAATGATGCAGCGGAAGGCGCGTGCCCTCGAAGAACTGCGCCAGCGGGAGGAGGAGTTGCAGGGGCTTCTCCGCGCGGCTCACCAGCGCGAGGAGGAGTTGTTGGAAAAGCTGAATCAAAACCAGGCCGCGAAGGCCAAGTGGAAGCAGAGGGCGCAGCGGCGTAAGCAAAAACGCGACCAACTCGTCACAACTCTGAAGGCTCTTGCGCGGCAGCAACCAGACCGCGTTGCAGAGAGCGTCAGGAAGCTCTCCAGCGAGGACAGCGAGACGGAAAGTGAAGACACGCCTAGCCCCGTAGCTCCGGCGCGTGCGTCGAAGAGCCACGAGTGTCTGCCGGAAATACCAAGCGCTGCGGCGGCGCAGAAAGAGGCTTTTCCGACTTCCACCAGCGCCCGCCAACGGCCGCGCGTGGAAGAGAAACACACAGCAATGGGGCTGCCGGTAAGCGAGTCGTCTTCGCCTTTGTCGTGCTGTGGGAGACACGGCAAAGGCGACGAGGGCAGGAGCACAGGCGGTGTCAGAAGCCAAGCTAGAGGCGGCAACGACAAGGACTACAGGCCAGTAGGGAAAATGGCAACGCATGAGGAAAATGCGCCGCGCCGGCTGACACCTCGCCCGCCTGCCACGCTCTCCCCATTGCGCCCCGCTGGGGCCCACCGCCCAGGAATTGTTTTGCCTCTCTCATTAATGAATAATGACAACTTAACGGAAGGTGTAAACAACCCCTTGGGCTACGAGGTGGCGGAGGCGGGCAAGCGGTCGACTGCCCCGTTGCGACTGGCTCCGTTGCAGGAGTCCCGCAGGTCGGAAGCGCCCGGTGCTGTGTGGGACCACGCGGAAATGGGAACCCCCGGCCGCCCCGTATCGCGCAGTCTTGGCTTGGAAGGAGGGCCTCAGCGCAAGGCGTGCGCCAATTATAACTCCTCCGGTGAATTAATTAGGCGGCTTTCCGCATCCAGGCCCCCTCCGCTGCAGATGTCACAACTTGTGACACCGGTGTGCTCCCAGCCTCGCTCCATTCTCCGGAGGAGAGACTCCGGCGCTGGAAGCTTTTTTTCAGGGAAAGACAACTGACTGGCCTCATTGGACGAATCTTATTAATAACAACCCCCCAAAGAGCTGAATCCATGAAGCCGCAGCCCTCCGTGCCTCGTGAATGTCATACCGTAGGGAGCGGGAAGGGGGGAAAAGAAAAGAAAAAACCTAAGGCCTGTATAGGTGTTGCGGCAGAGTAGTATGCCTCTGCACGTGTTACTTTTCCGTATGTACTTCTCCCCGCTTCTTCTAGTTTTGGTAAAATATTGTTGTTGTTGTTGTTTTTTGTATCTGTGTCTCCTACCCTTGAACCGCACGAAGCCCGTGTGGAACGGCCAATCCTTCCCGCCGCGTGAGAGTTGAATGCATTTGTGCATTTCCTCATTGGCCTGTTTTTGCTGGTGCCGCGTTGTATTTCTCCCTCCTTCTTCTGTGGTGGGGCGCCTGCCTCGTGCCTCGACACCCGCCGGGGCAACAAAAACAACCACGTGGTTCGCGATCGGAGTGAAGTTCGACGGCGGACGAGGAATAAGAGAGGTACAAGGCAGGATGAGCGGCTTTTACGGGGACGTGGCCGATTGGGCTCCCGTGCAATTCATCCTTGTCTCTTTTTCAGTGGGTGTGTATTTTTTTTTACTTATCTGAGCCGCTGTGTATGTTCGAGATATTTTTTTTCTTGTGTTGTTTTTGTTTTTGTTTTTGTTTTGATGGCCTCAGTGTTGCTGCCGTCAGCCGTACTTCCGCCCTGCCCCCTGGACACCGGCGCAGCTGGTGTGCACGCGTCAGTGATAATCCTCCTCTCTCTCTCTCCCTCCCTCTCTCTCACACACACACGCGCACGCACTTGCCTTCTGCGGATAGAGAAGGAGGCGGGAAATAAAGTAAAAGTGCTCTGGGAAGACAAAGAGAGGAAAGTAACGCACACAACTCAGTCGGCTGTGTGCCAATGTAAGCTGGCTGCATCGCTGTAGCGGCACGCCTCTCTGCCACTATTGAACCCTCAGCCACTACTTGTACTGATGTGTATGTTTTTCGCCATTATGCGGCACCCGTTAACACTGCCAGTTGGGCACATTTTGTGTGTGTGTGTGTGTGTGTGTGTGTGTTTTCTTATTGTTTCTTAGCAGCTCGTGGAAGGAGCGTGTGAATGAGCGGGTCTGCAATATAAACGCGTGAGTGCGTGTCTTTCTCAAACCACATTTGTTTCACTGTGTATTACTTGACTTATTTTATTTTTGTGTTTCCGACGATGCCGCGTTAGTGAGGGAGGGGTGGGAGAGGAAGGAGGTGTGTGTGTGTGTGTGCGGTTTCTTTCTGTTGGTTGTCGACTGTGTTGTCCCCCCCCCCCAACCGCCGCTGCCCCTCCCGCGGAGGGAAAATCCGGCGGCTGCAGTGGGAAACGGCGGGCCGCCGCCTCTCCAGCTCACAAAGAGCCCGGCTATCGACGATTGATTTATGCACGCATCGGGTTTACCGCTGCCTGTGTGCTGTCTGCCGCGTAGGCCCTGCCTTCGCTGCCGGGCCCCACTTGCACCAACTCGGTTGTCCCCCACTTTTTTGACTCGTCTCTCCCTCGCCGTAGGAGGAGGGAGAAGTGAAGCCCCCCCCCCCCCTCGGCCAGGGCGCATACTCCGGTGGGAGTTGTTGAAGGATTCCGCGAGGCAGCGGGGTTCTGGAGCGGTCGGCGCGTCCCTTGTTGAACTCCCCGGGTTGCTGTGTCCATCACGCGGGTTTTATGTAGTCCCAACGACGCCGCGGTGGCTTCGCAGTGCCGCCGTGCCCCCCCTCTCGGGTGCAGGCGCTTCTTCTCCTGCACGAGGCACCCGCCAGTGCGGGGGACGGCTCGGAGGGTGCGGGGCCGCCCCGCAGTTCCGCACGGCGATGACGTAGGCCTCCTGCGTCCGTGACGGGGAGCTCAACGCGGCGCGGGGCGTTGTGGTGCCGGGAACAGGCAACCCGCACGGGGTTGAGGAGGCTTTTTTGCGCTCATTTTCTGGGGTGTGCGGGTGCACGCCCTCGTTGAAACCCGGCAACACGCCGACGATCGGCTTCTGGGCGACGCTGCTTTTGGATGCGCAGACCCCGCCGCATCCGACTCGAGTCTGCGGTTGCGCTGACTTCTCTGTCGGTGGCTGGCAAAGGGCAACGGGGACAGCCAGCACGCCGCCGCTAGCAGCAAATTATTTGGCCGCGACGCCGCTACACGCACGGTGCGCAGCTTCGTGCATTCCGTCCGGGCTACGGACGGAGCCTACCGGCTGCCCAACGTTTTCCCTTCGAAAAAAGGAAAAAAAAGACTGAGAGAGCGAATAGCGCCGTGTTATTGTTGTTGTTTTTGTTTGCTGCTTTGTGCGTGCCAGGCTGCCCACTGGAGAGGCACCCACAACGTATACGCGCGAACTGCATTCTTCTTGCTGTGTGCATGCGCTTGGGGGCGGAAAGGAGGAGGGAGAAAAGTGACAGGAAGCGAAGCGACTTGAAGGGAAGAAAAAAAGGGGGCGGAAGGAAGGAGGCATGGACTTGGATGCGTTCCTGGACAAGAAGAGCAAGAAGCTCGCGGGGGGCAAAAAGAAGGCCAAAACGGGCGAGCTCTCCGAGAAGCAGCGAGCGGAGCTGGGCTTAGACGTCTTCGGCGGCCTGGAGGGCGCGAAGTCCGTCACGCCGGTGCCGGCGGAGAAGCCGGCGGGGGCCGTCAAGGCGGAGCCGGAGGCAGTCGCCTCCCCGACCGGCAGCCACGCGCCGGATGCCGCGTCGCCGTCCGACGGCGCCCCTGTAGAGGCCGCCGCGGACGCTGGGGCGGAGAGGGACGACGGGGATCGCGCGGAGGTGTTTGTGAGGGTGGTGAAGACCTCCGAAAAGAAGGCGAAGGGGTGGGACGCGGTGAAGCCGACGTCTGGCTCTGTGGGGGACCTGCTGGCAAGGGCAGTTGAGAAATCGGGGCCGCGAAAGTTCGTGGCCCGCGGCAAGGGTGACTCAACGGGGCCGCTGGGGAGCGGCGCAACCCTCAGCAGCGCCGACCTGCCGTCTCTGGAGGACATTGTGAGCGGAACTGCCAAAAAGGCGGAGTCCTCCCCAGCAGCGCCGACGGAACCGGCTAGTGCAGAAACGACTGCCCCTGGTGCATATAAGCCACCCACGGACAGGCCCTCGGCTGGCGCATATCAACCGCCCACGGACAAGCCGTCAACTGGTGCATATAAGCCGCCCACAGACAGGCCCTCGGCTGGCGCGTATAAGCCACCCACGGACAAGCCGTCTACGGCCGCAGATGCACTATCTAGTAATGAAACTGCAGAAGGGGCACCGATGCCGCCCGCAGACAAGCCGTCAACTGGTGCATATAAGCCGCCACAGACAGGCCCTCGGCTGG